TATGTTAATAGGAATTCTGAATTCAGTTTTCAGATAAGCACGGGCCTTCACTAGTGTCATGATATGGTAATTCTTTCCTTTTTTTTTTTTCTTTTTTTTGGTATGGGGGATCAAACTTGGGTCCTTGTGCTTATGAGGCAGGCAGCAGAACCACTGAGCTAATCTCCAGCCCTGGTAATTCTTGATTATTCTCAGCCTTGGAACATGGGTCAACTTAGCCTGTTTAATGGGTTCTTAATATTGAAATTATGAGCCTTGCTTGATGACAGGTTTTGGAGGATTTGTGCATGGGTATTTTAGTTGAGAAATAAAAAAATCAGGCTGAAAAAACAGTAGCTCTGTGGGAGACTGCTTGCCTAGTGTGCACAAGCCTGGGTTTGAACCCCAGCAGGGGCAGGAAAGGATGAAAGTCTTTTCCTGATGATTGCCCCAGAAAGAAAAGCAAGATGTCCATAGGGATACTCCTTGTTCCTTCTTGCCTGGCTGGCTCCCTTTCTCCTGTGTCCCTGGAAATGTTAGCTTTGTGCTCTGGTCATAGAGTAATACAGTGTGTCTCCTCTCATGGTTGTCCACTGCCTCTCTAATCTCCAGGCCTATAGCTACTTTTTTATCCTGCTCCGGACCCTACTGTTTTTTTCCCACATTTACTGGTCAGAAGGAGCATGTAAAATGAAATACTTTTTTTTTTTTTTTTTTTTTTTTTTTTTTAAACACCCTTATTCTGTAACTTTTCCTCCAGCCCAACAAGATCTCCAGGAAAAATGGGGAAATATTCCCATTATAAACCAAAAAGAGCCAAGGATAAATTTACTTTAATCTGAGTTTCTGGTTCTTTGTGCTTTGCAACTAATCTGGCTCTTCTTTGTAAATTTGTTATAATCCTCATGACCAGTCTATGAAATTTTCATATATTACTCAGTTCCTTTCTGTTTTCACTTCTCAGTAGAATCATTAAATATAATGTTTATTTGTTCATAGTGTGAGATAAGATGGTATAATGGAAAAAACAACATGCAGTTTGGATCTTCAAAGACTCCTCAAATTATGGATCTTCCTTACTAACCATGAAGCTAAGGACTGTCTCTAAATTTCAGGTTATATTTTATAAGAATAACATAACATCTCTTCTTAGGAATGTTAATGGAAATTATTAGGAAAGTTAAGTGGAAATTACTAAAGGTGTAGAATTTAATTTCTTTCCTAAAGGATATCTTTTAAAACATCAAGAGCTCATAGAAATGGGAAGGATTTGCTCAGCAGGACCTTTAACCTACTGTAGAATGATTTACCTTTTTTTATTTTAAGTTTGTTTTTGAAACAGGGTCAAGATAGGTAGTTTAGGCTGGCTTTGAATTCGCTGTGTAGCCCAGGCTGTCCTCGAGCTCACAGTGATCCTCCTGCCTCAAACTCCTGAGTAGCTGGTATTACAGGCATGCACTACCATGCCCAGCTCTGAGGAGTGATTTTGAGATACTAAAAAGTGAAAAGAAAATCCTCACTAGTTGAATGCCGGTTATGTATCTAACATGAAACAACAAAAGCAAAGTTAATCTTTCAAGTATAAGAGCCTTGAGATTTGCTTTAGTCCTGAACCAGAGATTTTTCTAAATTGTGTAGATCTATTTAAAACAAGTATTACTACTCTAAATTTCTTCACTTAAATTTATCTTTTTGATGAAATGAAAGATCAACATGAATTGAAAATTTGTACATGGCCTATCAGAGAATTAAGAGTCTAGACATGAAAAATACATCTAGGAATACAGAATATATAATATATATTCATTCTATACATATATATATACTTCCCTATTGTGACATCAAAATATTTTAGGTAATTTTCAATAACTAATGCATTATGGGAATCCTGGAAATGACCAAGGGATGCCAGCATGCACACACCTCATGCATCAAGATAAGTGTGGGGAATGTAACAACCACTTCAATTTTTAGAATGCCCTATGGACTTCAACAGGTTTTTTTGTAATTATAGGATTAAAGGGATGATATGGTCCAGAATCCTGATACCAAGTAAACAAATGATTATTCCAGGTACGCTCTTTCTATAAATTGTTGCAAAAATGAAAAGATCCTGGCCTCCCTTTGCGCTGTTCTAATATATTAACAATATAAGGGTCAAGTTATTTTTACTGCAAGTAATTTTTTGGTTGGAATAAAAAAGTTATAGTTAGTATCTTTTATACTAAACATTCTTTGAGTACTAGGTTTTACTCATTTATTTTCGTTTTCTTTTTTCTTTTGTTGTTGTTGTTGTACGGGATATCAAGCTTGGGACCTTGCACTTGCGCTTGGAAGGGAGGCAGCAGAACCACTGAGCTAAACCCTCATCCCTACTACTTGCTTCTTGATACCATGTCCTTTAACTTTCTCTTCAACCCTATCTTCCATTCTTATTGATGCTTTTATCATCATGCTCTGTACTTTGTTCAGTTTTCCTTCATTTCTCTAAGAATTGTAAGGTGTAGTGGAAAGTCTGATTTAGTACTTCCGTTTCTGCTGTCCTGTTTTCCCTCGAGGGCAGTACACTCCTTTATTTCTGAATACTGTGCATCACAGCCCCTTGTCAGGCATGTAGAAAACATTCAATAAATGTTTACTGAATCAACAATTGTATGTTTTCATTCTCTTTACCCATCTTGATGGCATGCTAGTTTTTATTTTTGTCAGGTAAGTCAAGAAATTAATTCTTATGGGGGATGAAACCAAACCTTGTATTTGTTTAGTGACTTCCCACCCTCACAGAATTTTTTGGTGTAGGAATTCAGTCCTACTACTTTGTATTTCATGACCAAACTTTACAAGCCCTGTTAACTTTTGAATAATTTAACAGCATGATTTTTCTCTGAGAAGTGTGTATTTTTAAGCCTCACGTTTTGGCCTTGGAGCTGCTTTTTCCAGTCTCATCTCTTTTCCAGCCAGCATTGCAGCCAGAAAATGCTCTGTAAAATGCAAATGTGATCATGTTACTTTCTTTAAAACTCTTCAATGGTTCACTAGTGTCTAGCAGATTAAGTTCAATCTCCTTGGTCTGCTAAGCAAGGCACTCAAATACCTGGCCCTTCTACTGAAGTTTTACTGCTCATTTCCTCTCTCGAATTCGCTTGGCTAGTGGCATCAAACGTCAGTTCCCTGAACACTGGAGCCTGTTTCATTTTTCCCTCAGCCTAGAGTTACTTCCCAGACCTCTCGCCTTCCCGGACCACACTCCCAGGTAGAACCGACGGCACATTTGGGCGTGTGCCCGCGTCCTTACGGGTGTGGATCCTGAGCCTCTGTGTTGCCGGGTGGCATTCATATCTACACTCCACGCACGTCCGGCCTGCACTGTACCCAAGGCACCACACTGCTCCGTGCTGTGTGATGGCCACAAATGGTAGATGGACAGGGTGGACGAGGAGAACAAATGAGAAAGGACACGCTCTTTGGGGGAGAATACCAATTTCATTTTGGATATGCAAACGCTGAGTTGTACGTCTGGCAAGAGACGGGAGGACACTGCAGGCACCTGCTGCCTGCGGGAGCGAGGGTACCGAGGCTGTGGCCGGGGTCGCTCAAGAGCTGCTCAGTGGGGCGGCTCCGCTGGCCACAATCTCGAGCTTCGAGGCCAAGGACGACGGCCGATCCGGGGTGCACAAAGGCTTCCTCGAGAGCCTTCTGGGCGGGATTGTTTTTCGCGCGCTACATTTCATCCTTTCAGTCGCCCCATGCTAATGATGGGGCCGTGACAACGTCTCCATTTTAGAGAGGAAGGAACAGCGTTAGTTACTCTAGACCCGAGCTACCACGCAGAAGAGCAGCGTTAGAACCAGGTCACACTGCTCTCCTCACGCCCTTCCTCTCCTCCGCGACCAAGTGCCCACAAGGTCAGGCCTGGCCTCCGTGCTTCCTGGAAGGGCGCGCTCCCCGGCGGGGCG